TTTCTGTCTGTCTATCTGCAAAATGAAGTAAGGCAGCTGGAATAAACCATCAGATAACAAAATGGGAATCTCACATTGCAATATCAGTGCTTCATCTTGGTGTTATGGTGATAAAGCAAATTTTCCCTGAAGCTTTTTGAACATCTTGCTGACTGATATGTAGTTGATAAAAGTAGTTCTTTGAGACAACCCTAAACGGCTACATAAACTCTCGCTGAGCATACATCGGTATTCCACATGATGGAATGGAAGGAGTGGGATGGGAGTACTATCAGCCGCCAACCAATTCAAAGTCCAATTTTTAGCCTAAAGTCTAAACTGATTATTTGATAGCACACTCTTTGCAGTAAGATCCATTTCAGTAGAAGACATCTTTCTTCGGACTTAAAAGACCACTAAACCGCTTTGCATCCTTTTCATGTGCGTTGACTTTTTAAGTGGGATTGAGCAAACGGAAGCGTAAAGATTCTACTCCTACATTGCGAATCATAGGGATATTTGAATGCGATTCGGGGAGCTAGTCAAGGCAGGTCACAAATCAGGATAACGCCTTTCCAGGCGAATCTGGCACCAATTGACAGACTTTGAAGGGATGTAGAGCGCGCGCGTATGTAACGGTGCCATTTGCCACTGCATCACCTTCGCCCATCACATTCGATCATGTTTTTGCTTACTGCTCCAGCTGCCGGCTGCTCCAGCTTCACGGCCGGGTGAAACTAATAACCGCCAATTTTAGTAGCCGTAAATTCGAATCTCATTTTTGGTTTCATTTTGTGATTATGAAGCTCGTCTTAAAAAGTCACTAGTCTACCTGTCATCTCCTCTCTAGGTTAGGGGTGGTGGGTGGAGGGGGGACGGGGCGTACGATACAACTACCGATGAGACTTTTCTTCGACGTCGAGAACACTGCCTTAGAAGTTTCCCGTTGTTTATAGAAAGTCCAAAGCCTCCAGATACGGAAGCACAAGGAATGACAGTGAGCCCAAGTCTCCATGCTATTGTCAATCAAGTATGGAAAGGGTATGACGACGTTCGCATGGACGGTAAGTTCTGTATGATTTGAATTTCTATTAGTTCAATTCGTCTGCACTGAAAAACATCTAGAACCTCTATTTTCCTTGCTTCTTTACACATAAAAGTAAGTTTTTTTGTTATCACTAGGTTTTCCAGCTGTCTCATCCAAACTGAAATTGGGAGTTTCCTCACTGGTGCGCGAGGTTAAAAGTCTCAACCGCTCCTATCGTGAACGTGGTAGTGGCACACTCTTTGGTGATGACTCGGTATGTTCAACGTTCGACACTTTTTGTTATTATAAATCTTCATGCTAGAGTTAGTGGTTTATTCGGATTTATCCGCTGGTTGTTTTAGCTTGTGGCTTTTCTTGTTTTGCTGATTATTTTTGGTGGTTTGATGTCTTCGAAGCATTTTTATGTAAAACGCACGTTTATACATTTGTTCCACCATAAGGCTTCCATGTGAACAAAAAGGACAATTTTTGAATTAGTGTCTCGGTAAGCAGTTCTATTTCGTGCCAACCTGAAAATTACTTATACCTTTTGCGCGATTTGTCTTCTTACATTCTTCCATGCTTGCAAATCGGAACCTTTTCAACGTTGCTGATCTCTCGCTGCTCTTATCCATTGTTGGGCATGTCCCTGCACCATCGGGTCAAATCATCTCGTCTTCGGTCGCCCAAAAGGTTGTATGTGTCCTCGCGGATTCCTTTCTGTTGGCCTTGCCGTCCATCTGTTTCCATACATCTTGACGAGTGTCCAGCCCATGATTGCTTCTCACGATAAATACACCTCAAACTTCGTCTCAGCTCTTCACTGTTCTCGTGGTCCCTCAAAGGTATGTGGAAGTTTAGCATGACTAACAGCCATTGACCCTAGATTATCGTTTCTGCAATTGCAACTTTCCCAACAGTACTTCCACGACCTATTACTATACGGCTCTTATTTGGCGAATCAGCAGCCTATTTCAGACTTAGTATTTATTTATAAATATTTATGCAGTGGACGTGAGGTATCCGAATGTATTAAACAAGGTTCGTCTAAACATTCCTGCGAGGGAGGCTCCAACCTTGCAATTTTCGCCTGATCGGTACGTCGACTCGAAGTCGGCAATGATAGTTCGGATAAGGTGTGTCGGCATACCCATGCAAACTGTGCTGAACTCGCATGAGTCTCAGGTGTTTCTTTCGGCATCGCCGTCGTCCAAGTCGTTTGGAGAAAGAGCACAACTGGCTCAGTGCGTACCCCTAGTGTTGACCGCGTGATCGTCAGTAAGGTGCCGAGGTGGCTAAGGAATAGCTCTCGTAGGGGCCCATGGATGGCTGGCTGAAGTCTATCGTCACAGAGGATGAGTAGTGTCTCTAGGTCAACATCGAACCGCGCCAACATTAAGTTGACAAGGGTGACCAGTCTGAGCCGCAACAGAAGCCAAGTGTTCTTC